GAATGCTTCGAGCATGGAAATGGACCGTGAGTTTTCATATCCGGAGAGAAATTGCGACTTTGGATCAAAATCAGGAAGTCGTTACTCGTTGTGTGTACTTCACTATACTCAAATCGTTTTGGGAAGAACTTTCTCATTATATCCACGTTGTTCGTGCGGGAAATGTGAGTGTGGAGGTGTGAAGAAAATTGAAAATTTCAAGAAGAGCATGTCATGATTTTTCTTATGGGTTTGAATGAGACTTTTTGACATACTCATGGATCCTTTACCACAAATAAACAAAACCTTCTCTCTGGTTACTCAACAAGAAATGTTAGTCAAACTCAACCAGGAAGTAGCACAAACTCTGGGAATCGGTCAATGACTTTTAATGTCAACACCAGAACTAGACCAATTTATTACAGCAAATTAAAATGGCAGATTCTTCAAGGAGCGTCCATTTTGTTCTCATTGTCAAACTCCAGGTTATATATATTAAAGAGGAGTGTTATAAACTACATGCTTATCCTATTGGTTGTAGGTATATTCAAGAGTAAACAATGTTGTTATTGATGATGCAAGGGAGGTCAATGAATCAAATAGTGAGGATTTGGACAGTGCCATCAAAGGTTTGTCTTCGGCTCAATGTCAACAGATCTTGCAGCTCTTTTGAATCAAGTCGTTGCACAAATGGTCAGAGAAAATATGGATGGCTTGAAAAGAATATACAGTACTTGCTTTTCTCTTTCACCTTATGTTAATCGTGCATCTTCCAGTTAAGGCATGGATATTAGATTCTGGATCTTCGAGACATATCTGTCACAATTTAAACAAGTTTATAAACAGGAGAAGGGGAGCAAAAGAATAGTTGGCAGTGCTGATCACTGTCATGGCTTATATGTGATGAAGGATGATGATCTTGCAACGGTGAATCAAGTGTCTTTAGCTGCTGTTTCTTTGGATATGTGGCACAAAAGGTTTGGACAATCGACCAATAAAAGGTTACTAGCAATAAAGTCTTTCTTGAATGTGAGGACATGTTCTAGCAATATTGGTTGCAACATCTGTCCAATATCCATTTTTGTTTAATGTTGGTAATTGGTGTGTAAATAGGCTCAGGGACAGACCCATTTTTTATTTTTTTTTATCAAACGATGGCACCATTTGATCATAAAAAACAAATATAATTTATTTTGTTTAAGTGATGGTATTATTTTACTAAAAAAATGACACCGACATGTTTCTAACTTGGGTTTAGGGTGGAAGAAAAAGCCTTGTAAATTAACTTTACCAACGAAAACTTTTTCTCGTTGCAGTTTTAAAATACATATGATGACACACAACTAATTAATATGGTTGTATCTCTTACGAACCTAAATTTTTATTTACCCTTCGACAGAGGAATAATATGGTGACAGGTGACTAGTGGCACCATGCTAGGTTCGTCCCTGAGGTTGTACTCTGTATTATTCACTAATTCAAATAACACAAATTTCTTTCTCTTCCCAAAAAATAGCAAAAAAATAAAAAGACGCCCACTCAATAGGAAATTGATTTATGTCGTATTAAAGGGTATTTTAAGAGAAAATCCAGCTTAATTAGGACGGTCTGGATTATTCAAGTTCCTCGTGATTTAGCAAATTAAAACATTAATTTTTTATGGTTAAGATGATAATCCATTAGGTGGTTAGTTTACTGAATTATAATTTGTTATTATCGATGATAAATGTTTATCTTCCGACTCAATTGCATCTCTTTCTCTTTGGGGTTAAAAGATAATAAGCCATCCCACATCGATAAGACAACGTTATCCATGTTGAAATCAAACTTATAAACTGAGTGTCATATGCCGATAATCGCCATTTAACGAAGCATAATTACTTTCGATGCATGCATGATTTGCTGTGTCGATAGATCTTTATGCCATGATCTTGCAAGATTCTAGTCTCGTCCATTGCAGAAACCATGGGCTACCTATTTGGTTGATATCATATGTGGATCTTGCAGAATCTATATGAATTTCTTTATTTCCCACTTAAGAAATGGTAAATTTGCAACGTCAATGTTCATGGCATTTCGGAAGGAGGTATGCTATCTTATTCCAATTCACCCGTTTTTGCTAGAATCTATAATGTCAAATATGTGTGGGTACTATTTAGATTTATATGACGACTTATTGGAAGCGTGACATCGACCCCTGGATCTAAATTGTTGATGAAAAAGGTGTCTGTCTTTGTATGATTCGTTAATGTCATGCCTGTATGATACACTGTATGATGATAATTAAATGCGTTTTCCTTCCTATAAGTAATACTGATAACTTTATATCTTGGATTTTAAAGGATCTGATGCTACCCGGCTGAATAAGCCTGTGATGTGACAGTCTAGGCGAGACTCGAAGAGGCGATTGTGAAATGGAGGGAGTATTTGAAACTCAAGGCGATTTATTTGATGGGATGTAAGGCGATAAGCGGTGAAGGTTTGTGTGTTTTGCAATTTATCGAACACCGGAAAAACTTCAATTTTTTTTTTCTTGGCGATGTTCCCGGAATGGGTTATGTTAGATCTGCTGCAGAAAGCTTACATATCTCGGGGTGAATAGGGGAAGCAAGATGCCAATGCCAAAAGCAATCCGGGATAGCTTTTATGCGAACAACTGTTACAGAGATCGAAATTCAGTATTGTTGAAGATACCTTACAAGATTGAGTTATTACTATTGGAGAGTGATAGTGTGTATATTCTTTGGTCCACTTTAAGTAGATTTTTAGGATTTTATTTTTTCTTATTTTCATTATCCTAATCACAGATTGAGTCTTTTTATTCTTATTTTACTTTTATCGAGTCTGGAGCAATGGGTTGTTGTAGTAAGTATTGCCACAATAATAGTTGACTGTTTGACTCAATCAGAGTAGGGATGGCAAAGAAAAACCGAAACCGATGGTGAAAACTGAAAATCAAAACTTCCAGGTCGGGTTTGAGGACATCTTATCATGGTCGGGGATCAGGAACATATTTGGGGGTTTTAATGGGGATGAGGATGGGAGTGGGGAAGGTGATCACCGACCCGACCCGACCCAATATGGGTATATATATTAATTTTAATGTATATACATATAGAGTAGCGATCAATTGCAAACTACTCTCATTTGTAAAAATCTTATAAAAAATCTCATCTATCCATTTTTTTGATCAATGATCAAAATTAAATGTGTTTATATTAGGAAATAATAAAATAAAATAAAAGTTTAATTTTTAATTAGAAAAAAGGGCAAATTTGTCAAATCCCCAATGATTTTGTAAACGAGGTAACAAGATCGTGGATATACTAACATTAATGAAACATAATCATTGTTTTTAAATCTCCATATATCATTTTATCATTACAAAGATTTTAACCAAAAATGTAAGAATAATCTGAAAAATTATATGTTTGATAAAAACTATCTTTATTTTATGACTAAATATTATAAATAAAATAATATCCACATTAAACATAGATCCAAGTAAGGAGCAATGAAACTAGGTATATCCTAATAAATTATGAAACGTAAAAACATACTTTAATCAACAAAAAATAATGAAATCTTTTGAATACTAAAGGAAATATTTTTTTTCATTAAATGAATGAATAAAACTGTTTCACCGTTTATCGAATGAACTCACGCGACTCCTTGTTACCTACAATGAAAGATGGACCATTTAACATGTAATAGTGAACGATATATGAAACTATTTCATCAACGGTTATTTGAAGTAGGATTGGACTCTTATTAATTTCTAATCAAACTAACGTTTCAATTTTTAGAGATTCACACTTAAATCGATTTCACTTTTATCGTAAGCTTCTCACTCACTCTTATTTTGAACCTGTCGGGTAAAACAAAACAAACCTCAGTTGAGCAAAATTGTCCAGTAAACAAATAATAACACAAGAAATACCGGATATGAAATCGATTAATTGAGACAAGCTGCTCTCTCACACACATTTTACATCGGAATGTGAGTGAGTGAGAAGTTTATCTCAATGGCTTAACTAATAGTCGAATGTGTATGTCTACACCTCACAACGTTGATTAGGCTCTCTGATTTAGAAATGGCAACAAGTTGGGTACGAGCTGGTTATTGGTATCCCCGTTCCCGAAACTGATAAGTAAAACCATCCCTGTAACCGTCCCGATCCTCATCGGGGATCCCCGTGGTTTCTCCGGTTCTCGTTGGGACCCGTTAAGGGTAAAAATCCCCTTGTTCACCGTTGGTTATACGCAACCCCGAACCCCGAACCGATCTGGTAATAAATTAGAATATGTTAATTCTCACAACTAAAAGTAAATTACAATTTTTTAAAGATATAAGTCTAAATATCTGAAACATAATCAAACCAATTACAAACAATGTCTAAAATTACAATATAAAAGTAAACATAAATTCAAACATCATAGAACTAACATTATTAGACAAATAAACTAGACATTTTTGTGAGACTTATTCAGGGTGTTGAGATAAAGTGAATAAAAATCTTTTAAATTTTAATGTGTCTTCAACCGCTTATCTATTAGGATACGTTGTTCCCGATGGATGATCAGTCAAATCAGACGTCATAACGGAATGGAAGTGTAGGGCACTATACCATCTCATTCCCCGATAACCAGAGATATTTGGTTATTGGCTCTATCCGATAACCACTATAACTGGTATTCGGTTAAACATATGTTATACTCCGCCATTCTCCATTCATCAAGACAAGAGTTTCTGTCAATTATGTTCTGATTTTTCATTATTTTAATTAAACTGTTGCCAAACCGAGCATTGGTAGTTACTGTCTCTTCATTAATTAGGTGGCGTGTTATACAACTTATTCTTATCTGAGATCAATGTTTATTCTATAGTACGATTTCACCTATTTCCCTTTGTAGTTACGATGACCATCTGTCCCACATCGATCAAACAATATTCCCTCTTAGCAGTTACGATGACCATGTATCCCACATCGATCAGACAGTAGTATCGATGTTGAAATCCAACTTATAAAACGAGATCGTGAGACGAACACATCCACACAACAAACCATGGGGGAAACCACCGGTACCGTTCTTGGTGAGGTAAGTATTTTCTACGTCTTGGTATATTTGTTCGTTGATCTTGTTTTGTGTATAAATTTATTGCTCGGTTGATTATTTTGGTAGACATCCCAGGTTCGTTGTGTCGCATATCTTCAGAAATGATAGATTTGCAACCTCAATGTTTATAGCGCATTTCGAAAGGGCATAGCATATAAGAAGGTATAATATCTGGTTTTTGCTTATCGTTTTCTGGTATAATCTATTGATTCTAACGCCAAGAGTATTCCCGTCTTGACGTGCGAGATAAATACTTGATGAAGAAAGACGTCATCTTTGTTGGTTCTTTATTACAACGTCTTTTATTTTTTGATCCTATAAATCAAGTATTATAAAACGGTCTATTAAGACACTTAAATTTTTTGGCGTCTTATAAATCTGATTTTGTTGTAGCGAGTTTTCGTATCCACACAGATGAAATATGCCAAATCGCTTTTTTGCTTCTGCTTCTGCTTTTGCTTTTGCTGTAAAATCAAAATCATAATCCGTTTTAGTTAGAAAAATATTCTAATAAACTTCAACTGTGACTTACATAGGTGAATCCATGGAGGGCCACCAGTGTGACGAGCATGATGCTAAATATGTCCGAAGAAGAAGAACAAAACAAATGAAGCGTGTCTTAAAGCAGCACGATCTGAATAAAAATGCAATTTTATGAAATAAGGCGTTAGATGCTCTTCGACGTTTGATTTTATATGTTACTTAATAAGTTGTTTCTTCATTTTATTTGAACAATGATTGATGTGCGAGAAGCAATCTTACAGAATTTCAATCATCGATAGACGTTTGCTTTTCTCGTCGTACTTAATTTCAATTCTCTTATAATTTATCTGATAGAAGGCGTAAATCCCCAATTTCTTTTCCTTTTTTTCTCTCGATCCCGTCACCATAAAACTCCGGAAATTGATCGAAATAGCAATCCCTCCAACCAAATTCATTTTTAATTACTTTTCGAAACCAAAAGTGCGCGTATATCGTCTTTTATAAGACAGCTTTCGTTCCCCTGTACAACCGATGTTGGATCTTACATTTTATTTCGCTAATAAATTCGTATATTTGAGTAATGACCAAAAAAAAAATTATAAAATATGAGAAACACTAATTTTATTTTGTTTAGCAAACGAGTGTGGATATTGAGGTTGTCTGAGTTTCGGATATAGGGGATGAATCAACAAGAAAAAAGATGAAGATGAACAACCTTCGGTTTGAAGGAACAAAACGTCTGTCTACACTAGCAGTAACAGTAACAGTAACAAAACGTCGAAAGGACCTAAGACATTAACGATCGGTGCTTAATCAACATTAGTTAATAAAGATTGATAACAGCTTCGAGATTGATGTTTTAGGATTTTTTACATCTTTCTTTTTAATATTTAGATATAAATACATATATGGTTTTTGGTTTTTTTTTCTAATGATGCTCGATAGCGCTCGATTGGAGATCGATAGAAGTTTGGCAGGATCGATGGTTCTCGTGTGCTCGATAGATGCAACGAAGATCAAATAAGAGTCGGGTCGTCAGATATTTCAAACAAAGGATGTCAGTTTTCTTGAAGATTAAGCGTTCAAGATCAGAGGCGGCCAATTACCTATTATGGCTGATTAAACTATAGAACTGCTTTTAGTGATTTTGGTGTGTAATCTATACTATATTATAAAGTATTTGTAAAAATTCTTAAAAACCATTTTTTTTTACATGAAGTATTGCTTATTGATGCATATTACTTAAAATTCAAAATTACAAGTAAAGTGTGCATAAGTACAATTTATTAAGCTTCATATTTGAATTCGTGTAACTAATTGTAGATAAATATAATCAAATACAAGATAAAATTCTCATTTAAAATATAATTAGGATAATTATTGAGTTCTAACAGAATATTTAGTTATTATCTTTATAAAAATTATATTATTAAACCAAAACAAATTACTTCATCATTAAACGTAAATTAAATTATAATAAAAATATTGAATTAAAGAAATTACACAAAAAATAATAAATGTTATGTATTTTTTTTTTTTTTCTGGTATCTTCAAATTTATATTTTAGAAAATAAAACATTATTGTTTGCTCAAAACCACATAAATTCATATTATAATATCGATAGGGACCAAAAAAATAAAATGAAACATTAAAATCGAGATATGTCTCGTTGCATTGCGCGAGTACCGTTCTAGTTTATTTTTTAAGAGGTCAAAATCTCTAATTTATTGCCATGAAATTGCAACGTTTCTTATAACCCTCAATTTTTAGAGTTATATGTTACTTTTTATAAATCCCTTTTGATCCTTTTAATATCTATTTGATCATTTCACTTCTTCTTTGATCTAAATTGTTCCTAAATATGAAGAAAAAAAACTGAAATTTGGAATTTGTGAGCTCATCCACCGTTGTGTCACGGATGTCGCTACTGGGGTGACAACTTTTTTAAAGATTATGCAGAAATTTTGTTGCCAAAGCAGTGAACTGAAGAGCTGGCTTAGACAAGAGTCAACCCTGAAGTATTCATGAAAGAGGAGGAGAAGTGGATAAAGAAAGTCAAGATAAAAGACACCCTTGAGATGTTACTTTTCTCTCTCTCAGTCTTTTTCAACTTCTCTCTTCCCTTCCACGTTGTATTCTTATATTTCCTTTGGGTAGAGTTTAGTTGCAATTTAGGGGCCGTTTACGAAACGCTTACCCGGTAAGTACTTACCGGGTAATTTTCCTCACCCGATCCGCCCGGCGTGAGTGTAAGTCAAACTAAATAGATAGTATGTAACATTTGGGTGTTACTGTTTTTTACTACCTTTTCGGTTTAGTCAATAAAATTGAATCTTTAACTCAAAGCGGACAAGATTACTTACTTGAATGTGTTAATATTGGATTTTTGATCCAGAGATCGGCGTAATCGAAATACATCTTGAGTGATGCAAGAAGCTTCTAGAAAATCTTCAACAAACACATAGAGACGTGTTTTTGCATAACTTTCAGTAAGGATGACACTCGAGTTGGTGTGTAATAAAAATGTGCGCATCTCTCCATGTCGTTGGAACTCAAATTTTCAAGTATTGTGTGCAATAATATATATGGTAAACGCTTATTCAGGTAAGAGTCGTCACCATCACTTACCGTGTAAGACTCTCTATCCTTATCATCGCTCTTAACATGTAAGATTCTTGGGTCTTGCCATGTTCATCCAGTGAGGAAAATTGTCCTGTAAGCACCTACCGGGTAAGCGTTTAATAAAGGCCCCTAAATTATATAATCATTTCTTAGTGATTTTTGTGTGTAAAAATCTCCAATTCGTTCGTTTCCTTTTTGATTTTTCCACTTTTAGGTATAAATTTCATTCTATTAAAATTTTCCCACTATTTTTTCTAATTATTTTTTATCACTTTTTTTTATTATTTAAAAAAATTTAGAATTGTTTTTAATTATTATTTTTAAAGTATATAATATTTATAGACGGCAAATAGAACAAATAAACTCACACATTCTTCTAATCTTTGATGAGGTTTGGACCCCCTGACCTTCTAAGAGGCTAAAAACTCACATACCGCTAGGTCAAAGACTCTTTGTTTTATTTTAATTGTTGTTGATTATTTCTATATGTTCTGTAGAGGTGTTCTTAATGATAGTCCATACATGCTCTATTAGAGGTCAATAGAAGCTCGTCGTGATTGATATATGATCGATAATGCTTGATGTGTGCTCCATATGTGCAACGACGAGCAAATTAAAGTGGAATTGTGAAGCATTTCAAGAAAAAGGTTAACACATAGAGGAGGTTCAAACGAGAACCCTTCTGCTTTGTGAAAATGCGAGAACAGTTATAGGTCTCTATCTTTTTTAGATAATAATTTAAATTATAATAAATAAAAATACATCATTACGGATAGTAATGTAATTAGTTACTTTTTATAATTTGTATGCTTTTTAATTAACTGTAATTATCCCATGATTTTCGATTATTATATCATCATGTCTTGATCCTTTACTGTAAATAAAATACCACATACTGCCACGCAATTGAGACTGTCGAAGAACCTGCACTAACATGTGATAACCATGTGATAAGCAAACATTAATGTTGTTGAGAATCGGACAAAATCTGTTAATCCAAAGAAATTTGTTAATCGATCCATCTTTGTTACTCGAACAAATTGTGTTAATCAAACACAGACACATTGTGATAATTGTGTGAAACACAAGGGCAAACCACTGTATTTTACTGATGATCTATCGACTGTGATAAACACATTTTTTACAAGCAATTTGTATTTTCTACGACCCCGTAAACAAACTGTAAAGGTTTTCAATATCTACTAATTCGAAGTTCAAAAATGTGACTATTATACTTGGCTCATCCGATATGTTCGGTTCCTGTATTCAAGAAAGCAAAAAAAGAACATTAGGGGAAATATATGTTATAGATCAAGGATTGATATAGAATTGAACATTAAAGACCAATAATTGCATACACTACATCAATGCTCTTTTTGCTTTTCAAGTGGGGTGCATTTTGCAGAGAAGTTGATTATGTGACCCGTACGTGTGAACTTAAGGTAATATATTGTTCGCCTTACTTCTTGTGAGAATACGTGGAATCCCATTAGACAACTTACCAGAAGAGTCCTTTGAGGAGAGAAAGGAGTTCCATCATATATTGAGGAGAATGGTCCAAATTCAGCCGATGTGGGACTCCAACATGTTCTCTCCAGGGAGGCGTACAAATTGTCCAAGAGTGTCGAGTCCCCATAGTGGTAGAACTTGGCTCTGATACCATGTGATGCGAGAATATGTAGAACTCCATTGGCTAGGCAGAGACAGACTGTCAAGAGTGTCAAGTCCCTAGAGTGGTAGAGCTTGGCTTTGATACCATGTGAGAATATGTTGAACCCCATTAGATTACTCTCCAAAAAAGCTCTGAAGAAGAGAAAGGAGGTTCCAACATATATAAAGGAAAAATGGTAACAAGTCTATTTGGAACACTTCTTGTTTCTAGGGGTCTAAATCAAACGAGCCAGCTAGTCAAAAAGCTTGGTGGGATCGAGCAGGGCAGGCTAGCTTATTTGAGTATCTAAGTAGAGGTCAAACTGGGTAGCTTAACAAGCACTAGTGTTTTGCTTAGATAAAACCCAAATATCAAAAGTCAAGAATTCATACAATCATATAGCTGCTTGAACTGTACTTTAATTTTGTTAGACCCTGCTTGAACCAAGCCAAGGTTCGACCCTAAGTATATGAGCCCATAGGAGCTACCGTTTTGCTTAGAAAGAACCGAGATACCAAAAATCAAGAACTCCTATGACCGTATGGTAATTAACTTAGACTTCATACATGGCTCTTCTTGATGAGTTGATAATATACCCTCAACTACCACTCACGTTAGTTTGTCATAAAAATGTGTATTGTTATACTTCGACCACAAGGGAAGATGAGATTCAAATCATGCACATTTATGGGGTTGAAGCTATTTTGAATCATAAGAAGATATTTTGAGATTTTATGAAGATAACCCACCTGCTATTTACCTACTGGAGCCTGAACACAACTCAAATATTCCACAGCAACTCTTCCAGGAAGTTTTTTCAGCTGGTTGGGGAGCTGAACCTAAAAGAGGCTGCATATAATTTTAGAAATACGTTATAAGCATAAATCAAGAGTTAGCACTTTTACCGGTCACAAATAGAAGTGTGAAAAAGAAGGGCATACCTGTTTCTCAGAGCATTCAGGTGTTTTGGGTTCATTTACACGATCATTGGTGTTCCTTCCACAAAATGAGCATGCACCATTCGTGGAAGCTGGTAAATAACCGTTTGATTTTGGAGAAGCCTTATCGTCCGATGGAACCAACTTCTCAACCTCATTTTCTTTTGGAACTGATCCAACCACTTCACTAGTAGAAGTTGGACAACTATTCTGTTCCAAGGGTGTTTCTGCCACAACTAAATCATTTTTCTCTTCAAGTTTTGTGTTATCAAACACTTGGGAGGCCAATTCAACCAAAGAACTAACCGGCTTAGCTGGATCAACAATAGGGGAATCTGTAACAGCCAAGTCCCCGAGTTCACAACTCCTGTTTCCAACCAAAGACTCAATAGGTTGGACTAAGTCAGCAACAGCAGCAGGTTGGATTACCACCGCTTTATTTTTATCAACATGACACTTGTCATTTGAGCTACTACTTCTAGAACTCGATCTTTTCTCAAGTGAATTGTGTGAATTTGACCCTCTATCGATCTCACTTCCACTCTGTGTCTCTTTGGCATGTTGGACTAAGTTGGCAACAGCAGCAGGTAGAATTACCACTGCTTTCTTTTTATCAACGTGAGACATGTCATTTGAGCAACTACTTCTAGAACTCGAGCTTTTCTCAAGTGAATTATGTGAAGTTGACCCTCTATCGATCTCACTTTCACTCTGTGTCTCTTTGGCAGGTTGGACTAAGTCAGCAACAGCAGCAGGTTGAATTACCACCGCTTTCTTTTTATCAACGTGAGACTTGTCATTTGAACTACTACTTTTAGAACTCGAGCTTTTCTCAAGTGAATTACGTGAATTTGACCCTCTATCGATCTCAATTTCACTCTGTGTCTCTTTGGCAGGTTGGACTAAGTCAGCAACAGCAGCAGGTTGAATCACCACTGCTTCCTTTATATCAACGTGAGACTTGTCATTTGAGCTCTTACTTCTAGAACTCGAGCTTTTCTCATGTGATTTCTGTGAATTTGACCCTCTATTGATCTCAATTTCACTCTGTGTCTTGTTGGCAGCCTTCTCGGTCCTATCTGTTGTTAAAGATTGGTTCCCAGACGAATTGTCTTCCCTCTTCTCATGTGATTTCTGTGAATTTGACCCTCCATTAATCTCAATTTCACCCTGTGTCTCTTTGGCAGCCTCCTTAGTTCTATCTATTGTTAAAGATTGGTTCCCAGATGAATTGTCTTGCCTCTTCTCTGTCTTGACCACCGGATGAGGAGAGTTCTTTTGGCTCTTTGATGAGCTATGTTTCGCACCATCACTCTCTCCTATTATAGTTTGATTCATCGAAATAGATGGTTCAAAAAACAATAAATGACAATTGATCTCACAGAAGTCTAAATAAGAAAGAAGATAAACAATAGAAACTAGCAAATTGAACTTCAAAGTTTCAAACCCCTTAAATATTTCAAATATCCAAATTTCAAGAAGAAGAAAGAATAACTTTCTTGGCGTAAAAGAACATATAACCCCCCCATTTCGTTACATCATCTGGTTCAAGCATTTCAGCAAACACCAGATAGATATCAAAAATTCAATTGAAAGACCATGTACAACTACAAGTTTTTTGGCGTGAAAATCAAAATTTAAGAAAAATTAACACGTACCCACGTAGTAAATTACAAAAAAGAATGAAGAAATTGAGAGAGAAATGTGTAAATACCATGAGGAGGGCGAGCTGCGTTTGAAGAAAGGGATTTTTTGGAGTCTTTAGGCTTCTTTTTCTTCTTCTTGGCAGATCCTCGCCTACCGGGTGGCATGGTGGATCTGGGGGAGAAAATGGTGGTTGTTTTCTCCCTCTGTTTCAGAATGTAGTTGGCGTTTGATAGATAAATGGCAAGAATTCGAAGGCGTCTTTCGTTTTGGTAGGCGCCCCGCGTTTTTCTCTATACTATATATTCTACTTATAATCTTGCCCCCTCGACCCTCTTTAACATGTTTTGGTTTGCCCCTTCGACCCTCTAACATGTTTTGGTTTGCCCCCTCTACCCTCTTTTAACATGTTTCATTAATGGGATTAAATATATAAAAATTGTATTATAATGAGCTGATTCCCAAGAACCTAATTTGTTTTTATTAACCTGGATATCCAACCCATTATGTGCGCCGATTAATCTTAAGACGACCATCTGCTTTACAGATAGCTCGGAGTCACCGCATTTGAACCTCCGTGGTCACAAAAGAATTTTTATTCCTCCTTGGATTTGAACCTCCTGATACTTTTGATCTTTGGAGTCAAGTTCAAACCAATCAAACACCACTCTTGAAGTTATAAACCTAAATTTCTATTTCAAATTAAACGAAAAATGAAAATTCATTCTTATCATTTTTCATTTTTTTTATTGAACCAAACAACCCCACGATATTGGATTTTCAGTATCCTCCAAAACAGTGATATTTAATATAAAATTTATATTATTTTAATTTTTTATAACATAAAATAATCATCATAATATTAAATAAAATATAAAGCATTATCAAATACAGTAAAGAAAACATTAAAAAAATTCAACGATTTACGATTAAAAATTTGAATTACTAACCGTTAAAACTTAAATTTATTTTGAATTTTCCACAAGGATGGTGCTTGATTGATTTGAGTTTGGCTCCAAATGTCAAAAATACCAGAAGATCTCAGATTCAAATCCAAGGAGAAATAAAAATCCCCTTGTGACCACGGAGGTTCAAATGCGGTGATTCGAGGCTATCTGCAAAGCAGGTGGTCGCCCTGGGATTAGTCGGCTTGCTTAACGGGTCCAAGTTAATCAAAAAAAATTACAGGTTCTATAGTAAAAAGTAGAAGAGCCATTTTCGAGCAGTGTCTAATCAACTACGTATTAATGAAAATTCGATTATCAGAAGTCATCAACAAAAAAGATTTGTCTGAACCTCTTCGTTTCGTTTTGTCCAAGTTGCTTCCTCACTTGTTTTTTTATTTCAGTTTCGGGCATTCACAGGTCCAAGAAGTACATCTATGAATTCACACCATAGATTGCGGGTTCGAGTCTCTCCAAAACCAGTCAATTTTTTCCAGACTGTCATCTTCAGGGGGTTCATATCAGATGAGTTGATTTGCGCATAAACTGACCCAGACACCACACAAGCCGGTCAAGACACTCACAGTTAACAAAAGAAAACAGTAGGATGGGACAACATGTAGCATGGATTGCAAACCAAAATAGTCAAGTACAACTCGTCCATATAGGAAAAACCTCCATAAGAACAGAGGTTATGCATGCAGTAAAAAGAAACTGGATGTACTAAAGTCCAAGATACCACCAAGAGCCTAAATTGCATTTTAGGCACTACAAAAGCATGGGCACACCTCATAGTGAGTATCTGTTTTTGGCATTTCTCTCGTGTTTCATCGCGTCTTCCTGCAACATAAAGCAGAACGTAAGTCGAAAGAAAATAAAACAACAAACAAACTCCAAGTCATTCCATTACAGAATGGGGAAACCGAAACATTTACATGAAATATGAAGCCAATGTTTTCATTGTGATCAATAATCTCCTTCCACTGTTTCCCGATGCTTAGCTGCAAAAAAAAGCCAACGTATCTTATCATAATTTCAACCAAAGATCTTATACATAACATCTGAATGATGGTCTTATTAAACTATACAAGATGAAATACGGCCCTACTTCAAGTGCACATTGTTCATATCAAATGGCTTAATCTCATTGATATTTTATGTTGGGAATTAACATTATAGCATCATGCTTCCCACTTCAACAAAAGTTTAGCCAATGAATCAGTTAGAACAAGCAGAAAGACGATTAAAAGTTATCTCAAGCTATTCATAAGTGAATAACAGCTGGTGACTGAAACACAGAATCAACAAAATAAACATCCACCAAAAAACAGTAAAAGATAACTCTTATCACAAAGAATAAGACATATTTCTGATGACTATCTAACTATTAGAAACAACTTTTTAAAACATTGGTTGACTTAGCAGTTTTGCGATATATGTGTATATATATATATATATATACCTGAGCACTCTCATTGGCAGCATTCCTGGTCCAGAGAGATACTTTTTCCTGCTTGGCTCTGACATTAACAACCGCTCCACATATATCATCTCCATGATCAAACTGTTCTCCAATGATTGCTAGCAACTATTTTACATATGGGAAGAGGTTAGATGGGTTATAAAGTAAGACCCATCGATGAAAAAAGAATCAGCATTGAGCAAGTACCGTATACAGCCAACAGGTGTCGGACTTAAACCTTTGAAAGTTCATAGTCCACTTTCCGCCATTAGCACAAACAGGGTCCTCCCACATGGGCTCAATTTTGTTTTTGAAACAATAGTAGTCAGCTCCAGTCATCAACTTGCTTGGTCGGTGTATATTGTTGTAAAGGCTGCATTTAGAGCAAGTTTCAGCATACAACATTCAAATACAATATAGACTTGCAGGCATTAGACAGAATGTGTAATCCATGATACAATATAATATCAAACTTCATACTTGAATATTTATATATGGATATATAAAATAAGAGAGCATCCAGAGCTATCAGACATCATCAAATGTTAAAAAACAAAAGTAATAGATCAAAAAGTCTTTTATCGTAGCCAAGTATCCAAGAATATACCCTTGCACAACATATCACCAAGTTTAATAAAACTAGAAAAGTATATCGTATGGAACAAAAGGAATAACTACCCCTTTTGAATGATTCATGGGAAGTATTTCAAAAGAGGTGAAGAATCACAACTCTGGACATCCCTGTAAGAAAACATAGTGATTTCAAGAGTAGATATAGTTTATAATTACAGATGATTTCCCCCACAAAGTAATCCGAATGTAGTAGATTATATCGATCCTAAAATGACAACTTTTTAGAGCAACCTCACCAAATCAACCATCAAAATGTATTATTCAATATCTTTGGGATCAATTCTACAAGGGCAAACTGCACCATAATGGAACCAACTTAACTTTCATTCCTATCTTATGGAACCATGAATCAAAACTTTTGTTTTGTGAAATCACATTCCAAACTTCTTATTAAAGCGACCCGAAGACCAAATTCATGTTCCCAAAATAGGAACGTAAACACAGTTGGTTCCATTCTGGTATGTAAACTGGAAAATAGGAACCGTGAAGAATTACATCAAGTTGTTACTGTTGGCAATGGCGGACAGAAGGTGGATAGATGGCCATAGAGGAAAAAATATTAAATTGGATCAAGTTCTTCGGATGATTTGGTTAATTTGCCCTAAACATTATTCGGAAAACCAAGGTAACACGAATTTGATTCGTGAAAACCCTAATCAAGAACCGAGTCTTACTGATTAACTTCGTTTCCCATTTAAAACTTTCTTGATGATATATAAAAGAAATTATGAGTACCACGCAGGTATCAAATCAAATTAGGAGAAAATAGAACATTGGTAAAACCCTAGTTCAAGAAACTCTTAAAATTCGACTCCAGTTCCGATTTCAAATCATCTTCATGGTACAAGACATATAGGAACGATCACAATCATGTCAAGAAACATTAATTAAAAAACAAAGATACCTCCAGAACTCTTCAACAGTAGAGAATGTGTAGATAGGGCGCATGGAACCACCCCAAGAAACTTGCTTGGCTTTAGCAGCTGGCGAATCGAACCAGAACGTCCATGAATGCTCGAGCGGGTGCTGCGTCAAGGCAGTACCAGGTCTGGATGAAGACGACGACGAAAGGGTATCAACATCGCCACCGACAATCTCTCCCTCTTCCAACTGTTCGTCTTCGTCTCCGTCCGATCGAACAGGCCTATGTTTGTTGAGATCGACTGCCTTCTGCTCCTCTGATCTCACAACTTCTTCCACCATCTTTCTTTCTGTAGAATTCTGTTTCTCTCTCTAGAACTCCGTTGATCTGCAATTGCCGATGAAGAGGTTACAGAAATTTTGCATCTCCCGACGGCCAGGTTGGGCTATAAACGCAAGGGCGAGCCCATTTTTAGGGTTATTTTTCATATTTTTGAATAAATATAATCAATTATTTAATCAATTTTAAATAGGGGATTGTTACAGCAAAACAATGTGAAGGTAAAAAATATTAAACCTTTATAGCATTTTGTACCTAAAATATATAGTTTTAAATATTTAAGTATTCGGATAACTGGTTGAAACATTAACCGGTTATCATGCCGATGTAACGAGTGATGAGATGAAATCTGTAACACCCAGAATTTCATTCTATGTTATTTTACCTTATCTGTTATTTTTCCCTATTTCAAAAAAAGGGGGGGTGTTACCCTCTAATAGTGGATCTTAACCTTAGACCATATTGAATTGAGAAGTTTCTCTATTGACCTTAGGTTCTTAACTGTTGATTAAAATTTAGTGAAGGGACAGAAGCTTTTGTAAAAGGGGTTGAGGGCTGCACCTAGGGAAAGAGGGAAATAAAAAAAAGATCAAAGAAGAGGAAGCCCTTCACCAGAGAGAAAGAAAGAAAGAAAAAAAAGGAAGAAGTCAAGGGAGAAAAAGAATCGTCGGACAGCAGGCATTTCGGTGCTGTTCCTCCATCTTCTCCGGCCAACTCGTGGCCTACCGCACCATCCCCTCTTAGCCACGCCAAGCAGCGACCAGCTCTATTTTATCCTTCGGTTTTCCTTGGGCAACACAGCAGACTCCCGGACTGCCTACTCCGACTATTTCACCTCACAGAAAACAGCAGCCCCGGTTAAGTGCAATACTTTGCTGCTCGCCAAACAGCAGCCCCTGTTAAGTCTGCTTCTTCACTG